GGCGATAAACCCCCCCCCCCGCCGCCCCCCGGGCACCCACCGGGGGAGAGGGCAGCCCCTTCCTCCCGCTCAGCGCCGCGGAGGGCTGCGGGGATGGAGAGGCCACCACCGCGGGGTAAAAGCAGCGGTACAGCCCCCCCTCCCCACTCCCCCAACAAAATAAAGTTAAAAAAAAATAAAATAAAATTTAAAAAAGCTGGGGGAGTAAAGAAAGGGAAAACCAGCCTCAGCACAGTCGCCACCAAAATTTCTTAATTACAGCCAACTTGGAAAGTCCTGTCTGGCAGCAGAGCCCAGATAAATCGCCGTCTAATATGCAACCATTTTGGCAGGGAAATAAGTGACATAAGGCTAGAGCCTTTTTTTTCCCCTTTCTTTCTTTCTTTCTTTTTGTTTTTCTTTTTATTTATTTTTTTTAAGCAAATTATTTGTGCATAAAAAAAAAATAAAAAAGCAAACCAAATCAACTCAATAAATGGAAGAAGGGCAAAACGCTGGTGCTTTTCCGCGGACTCTTAAGCCGAGTCCTGGGAAAAGGCGCTTTGGGCTGGAGTTTCCCGGCGCTGGGAGAGGCTGGATCCCCTCCTGGGGCAGCCCCAGCAGCTCGGAGCCGAGGGAGGACACGAAGCTACAGTTGCTCCAAACCCCGCTTTATAAAACACGTCAAAAACTGCTGGGGGACGGGAGGAAAATATATATAATAGATCCTGCCGGGCGCTTTATCTAGAGACCCTCTTTCTCCACAGCTAATTAAGCAATAATGACTCCTCCGGCTCTGGAGCCCGGTGTTCCCATCGGTATCTCCTGCATCTTTTGTTCCTTTTTCTCTGCCGGGCGTTTTCCGTTTCCGACACCACCGGGGATGTTACGGGGGTGGCCGGGGTGGCTGGCCACCGGGGCTGGCACCGCTGCGGCCCCAGCCTGCGGGATTTTGGGAAGCTGCGGCACGAATAAGGAGAGGGCAAAGAAACGCACCCCTGCCCGCGAAGGCAATGTCCCCCCCGGCCCTGTCACTGCCTCTGCTCTTTCTCACCGAGGGAAATGCGGCAGGAGAAGGCAGCCGGGGGGCGGCCGCCCCAGCCGCTGGGTGGGTTTGCAGCCTCAGCCCCGCATCCCCCGCATCCCTGGCGGCGGGACGGGCCCCCCCGCCGTGCCGGGGCCTTCCCCGCACCCTCTGCCTTTCCCAAATGTAAAAAAAAAAATGGCCCCCCCGCCGTGCCGGGGCCTTGCCCGCACCCTCTGCCTTCCCCAAATGTAAAAAAAAAAACCCCACTGCAGACACGGCGTGTCCTGAGGCTCAGGCGTGTGCGGACACACAGCCATCCAGCAGGCGTTTCGGTGCGAGCATGTGTGTGCGCGTACAAGATGTGTGTGTGTGTACACACATCGGCTCCGCATCTGGACTGGTTTTTCACTTTCGCACTCAGTTTACACCCCGAC